GAAGACAGAGGGCAACTATTGTGATATTTCTTTCCTCTAATACTCCATTCTCTTAATGACAAAAACAAATATTCCTTTTCCTTTCTAATTGAGTGTATGCTCTCCATGTTAATCTTCTGTGATTTACGCACGGAATACCCAAACCCATCAGAACATCAACATTTCTGATTTATTTATCATTCAAAAATTGTCTTTTTTATTTTTCTGTCAAAGTAGAGAGCTTTACATTTTAGTGCGTTTCTCCCATCTGCCACAATGTTGTAATCTCACTTAACCTATATAATGTATCCTTCTGCAGCCTCTTTGCATGCTCTTCACCTTTCTTTCCCAATTACTTTCCCACCTAACTTTGTAATTTCAGCAAACATTGCACTCATCAAGTTACCTATACACATTGTAAATAGTGAGGCTCAAATACTAATCATTGCAGCACCCTTTTTGTTATAGCCTCCTAAACCGTACACATTCCATTTTTACTCTGACTTTACTGTTTATTAACCAATCCTCAAAAAGTGCCAATACATTAACCCAATTTTATGAATCCTTATTTTGTGTATCCTCTTGTGTGCTACCTTATCGAATACAGTTTGAAAATTCAAGCACAATTATGTGGTTCTCCTTTTTTTTGTAACCTCTCCGCATTCTTCCTATCAAAATGATTCCGCCAACTTGTCTTTTTTCTTATTCATTTATGGCCAATGGTATTGGCGTTGCTGGCTAGGTCAGTATTTATTGCCCTAATTTCCCAGAGGGAAGTTAATCGTCAACCACATTGATGTGGGCCTGGAGTCACACTTACACCGTACGACCATAAGATATAGGAGCAGAATTAGGCCATTCAGCTATCAATTCAGCCATTTAATAATGAAAGATATGTTTCTCAACCCCATTCTCCTCCATTCTCCCCATAACCCTTGACCCCATCACTAATCAAGAACCTATCTATCTCTATTTTAAATACACTCAACAACCAGGCATCCACTGCCCACTGCAATAATGAACTCCACAGATTCACTACTCTCTAACTGGAGAAATTCCTGCTTGTCTCCATACTAAAGGGTCGCCCCTTCACTCTGAGGCTGGGGCCTCAGGTCCTAATCTGTCGTGACAGTGGAAACATGTTCTCCATGTTGGCACTATTCAGGTTTCTCAGTATTCTATAAATTTCAATGAGATCCCCCGTCATCCTTCTAAACTCCATCAAGTACAGACCCAGAGTCCTGAACCTCTATTCATGTGACAAGTCCTTCATCCGCAGGATCATTCATGCAAACATCCTTTAGACCGCCTCCAAAGCCAACATATCCTTCCTTAGATACAAGGCCTAAAACTGTTCAGAACATTCCAAGTGTGGTCTGGGCAGAGCCTTATATAGCCTCAGCAGTACATCTATGCTCTTGAATTCTAGAAATGTATGCTAACATTGCCTTTGCCTTCCTCATCGCCAACTGAACCTACATGTTAATCTTAAGAGAATCCTGATCTAGGACTCACACGTCCTTTTGTGCTTCAGATTTCTGAAGTTTAGAAAATAGTCAATGCCTCAATTCTTCCCACCAAATTGCATAACATCACACTTTGCCACATTGTATTCTATCTGCCATTCCTTTAACCACTCTCCTGGCATGGCCACGTCCTTCTGCAGCCTCCCAACTTCCTTTTGTCATCTGCAAACTTAGCAACGATGCCCTCAGTTCCTTATTTAATGAATGTCCCTTGAATGTTTAATAATATCCTCCTCACTACTCGCAATGTTTCCAAATTTTGTGTCACCTACACTTCTGGAAATTGTACCTTGTACACCAAATTCTAGGCCATTAAGTACATAAGAAGAGCAGGGGTCCTAACAAGTCCCTGCCATCAGTTAAAAATAATTGTTTTCTATCATTCGGCCAATTTTGTATCCACGTTTCTACTGATCCATTTATTCCATGAGCCCTAAATTTACACATAAATCTGTTGTGTAGCACTTTATTAAATACATTCTGTAAGTCAATGTAAACCACTTCAAAGCATTACTTATATCAATGTTCTCTATTGCCTTGACAAAAAAGAGGCTCAAGCAAGTTAGATAAACACAAAATCCACTTTCACTTTCCTTAATTAACCCACATTTTATTGGCTATTTATTTTGTTGTGAATCGTTGTTTATAAAAGCTTGCCTGTCACTGCAGTAAAACTGACAGGCTTATTTTATAATTCACACTCATTCTTGAACAAGTGTATAACATTTGCAATTCTCCAGGCCTATGGTACCACCCTGTACCTAAGGAAGATTGGAAAATTATGGACAGTTTGCTTCCACATCGCAGCCAGCCCTGGAGCCTACTCAATACAGTCAATTTAACCAAAATCTTCTCCTCATCACTTTTAAACCTGTAAAATGTCAAACTAACTTCTCTGTCATCATGACTTGGACAGTAACATCTTCCTTGGTAAAGACAGATACAAAAATAATGATCAGCTGCACAGTTGACCTCAGGGTATGATACGTGAATGCACGTGGATAATGTTTCTTTACTGTTTGTTATTTTAGTCATCAGGACGAGTGAGTTGAAGGCCCTTTTTCACTTATAACATTGACAATGGCCTTATGTAAAATCTTAATTATTCATGGCAGTTATAGTAGAGTTCTCTGGCGTCTTCCACATTGATGCTCATTCGGTGCTGCTTAGCAATGGCACGATCTTTGAGAAAAGAAAACTGTTGCTAATATATAACATATTAGTGTAATAGGTATAAAAAGTTTTGAGATCAGAAATCTTTAATATAATAGTCTAAGGGATGAGAAATATTTTTCAATCAACATAGGCCACAGGATTTTTTATGCTGCGTTCAATTGTTTTGTGCACTCACAGAGAGTTATATCGTTTACATTGAATGTGCAGCGCGTAAACAGGTCTTGCGTTCCAATAGGCCAATGTAGGTGTTTACCTTCTCCATAAGAGTCTCGGCGAGGTATCACAACCAACTGGCACATTCTTTTCTAAGCATTGCTGGGAAGCTGTTTTGCTTAATGCTGACATTAGGCTGATATTGGGTATAAGGTCAAATGTCAGCAAAGCCAATTGTAATTACCCATCCCAAACAACCCATCAAATTAATTAAATGAAATGCCAGATTCATGCTGAAATCTTTTATCAGAACAAAAGTTGCGTGTTTGACTCCAACTGTCCAATGTAGGATTTGCTGTCCAATAAAACAAAAGGGTCAAACGTCATCACATGCATATTGTTTGAGGATATCGAGCATTTGTTGTTGGCGTTTGACTAAGTAATCCCGAGATTTGCATCACGCAAATCTCGAAGCTAATTGTAAACTTGTAGCGAGAATCTATAATGGGAGAAAACAAATTACACAAAAGCAGAGGATGACTTTTTTTAAAAATCAAACCAAACAAGTAACAGTGTGCGGTACATAAAAAAGTAGCTCTCAGGTTCTTATTAGAAAGGATTTTAGATGAAGAATCCCAACCTGTTTGTGAAGCAGAGTTACTTTAGGGAAAGGAGGGGAATGATGCCTGAAATGTCACTGATGATTCAACCTCATGGTCCAGGTAATTAATAGTCAAATAAATCCGGCCATTGTTCGACTTTAAAATAATCCTTAAAATCTCTCAACTTAAAGCAAATTAGTTTGCAGTTCATTGTCGATCATTGTTTTTCCATATTTTCATATCTTTCATCTGAAGCCACATTTTTCTGAAACCTGGAATTAAATTTGTTTAATCTTATATCTTATCTCAGTTATTATTTTCTTGCATTTGCGTTTTCAGTAGTTGGCTGTATATATTTCTCATTGTTTATCATTAGCCTTAAACATAGCCGGATTCTACAAGTTATTTGGTGTCACATCAGTCCATAAGTGCTGAACACAATTACAAAATGCCTCTTTACAAGCAAATTAAAGGTAAAACGTCCATAAATAATATATTGATTTCGAATTAATGTAACCTGAAGGGAAATGTTACAAGTACATGCCAATTACTCGTACACTAACAATAGAAACAATAGTTCACTCAGGAATTACATCTTGGCAAGTGCATTAGAAAACTCGAGCATAGCATTGATTATTTTGATTGCTTGCCTTATCAATCCTTTTCCAAAAACAGTATGTATTATTCTACACCTGACTTGCACAGACAAAGTGATGATTCACATTCCCTTGTATATTTTAGCACATCAGATGCTGTTATCTCAAAATATTTAATCCTTTTGCGGCCCTAACATCTAATGAAGTGGTATTTGAAATAACAAATGGGATTAAACTCCAGTATATAATCGGAATAAAGATGTCAGAAAATATCGTCTAGTGTAGACAGAGTTTCTGAAGTTCGCTAACATATAATTTTGCTGTCGTACTTTGCAGTTACCTGTTGGAAAAATGAGCTATTCTACTACAGACCTTTTTTTTTTAAAAAATGTAATTTACAATGCTGTGGTCAAAATATAGGGTTCGATTGAAAAGAAATAATTTGTCCTCTGCAACTAAAATGGGGATACTGACAACTTTTAAATCTAATCTGTTTTCCTTAAGTGGCTGTAATCTTGACCATAGTTCAAATGTAATTTTGATAAATCGAATAGCTTTTCTTTCACAAAACGATAAATTGTTTTATTGGAGATTATGTGCAAAGATAATGGATTGTAAGACAACATTCTGTTCTAAGTTTCCTTATAAAGGACTAATGATAGCCTTTAAAAAGAAAAACCCCGAAACGTCAGCCTTTCTGCTCCTATGATGCTGCTTGGCCTGCTGTGTTCATCCAGCCCTGCACCTCGTTGTAAAGGAATCGGACTGCTGTTTATGCCAGAGTATGTGTATTATGGTTGCACAGTAGGAAAAAGCTGTTCCTGTTTGCAGCCCTCGCATTACGGACAGTGCAGCTTTAAGAAAAATTGGCGTAATTAGAGACAGAGACTCGTTGTGTCGCTGCCGACCAATGAGGGTCTCAAATACCAGCAGAGATCTATTGCTCCTCCTCCGGCACGAAACGAGAACTGAAACAGAACGGCTTTAGTTCATTTTGCGGTACAAAAGTGAATTCCCTTCGGCTTTTGGATACATCCGGTAATCTGTGCTATAAGATTGGGCTGCTCTTGCCCTTTATAGTGTGTCGGTTTGTTTTTTCGCGCCTCCAAAATATAACGGACAATGGCAGGGTCATCATGCATCACCGCCTTAAAATACAAGCTATTCGATTTAATGTTACTTGTGTATTTGTCAGAGTTGGCTTTCGGAAAAATTCGCTACTCCATTCGCGAGGAAATGGAGACTGGCGCTTTTGTTGGAAATGTCGCAGAGGATTTAGGATTGGACATTCGCAGGTTGTCAGCTCGACAATTCCGGCTGGCGTCTGCTGATAAAAGACAGTGTCTGGAGGTGAATATGGAGACGGGTACTTTATTTACGAAGGAAAGGATAGATCGAGAGCAACTGTGCGGACAGATGTCAGTTTGTGTTCTTCCATTTGAGATTGTAGTAGAACAACCTTTGGAGATGTACCGCGGTGAAGTGGAGGTTATTGATATTAATGATAATTCGCCCAGATTCCCGGAGAGTACCATCCTCTTACAAATGGCGGAATCCATTGCAATAGGCTCGCGATTTCCGCTAGAGAGCGCACTCGATCCAGACATGGGGATAAATACAGTCACGACTTATAACCTGAGCCCAAATGCGCACTTCGGTCTACAAGTGGAGACTGCAGAAGACGGTGTTAAAATTGTTGAGTTGTTGTTGGGGAAGCCGTTGGACCGCGAAAGCCAGTCATCCTTTCAGCTGATGCTGACAGCTACCGACGGAGGGAGTCCTCCCAGATCCGGGACTGCTCGCATTCTCATTACAGTGCTGGACAGCAACGACAATGCGCCGGTATTCGATCGCAAGATTTACAGGGTCGACCTGATAGAGAACTCACCCAGGGGTACCTTGGTGGCTACAGTCCGTGCCACTGATCCAGACGAAGGTTCGAATGCTGAGGTAACCTATACTTTCAGTAACCGTGTTTCAAAGAAAGTACATGAATTGTTCAGTTTGGATCCGCGAACAGGGGAGATTAGAATCAAGGGCATAATTGATTATGAAGAAGGTAACACGTATTCGCTAGATCTTCAAGCTGTGGACAATGGTTCACCTGCAATTTCAGGACATTGCAAAGTCATGATTAAGGTAATTGATATGAATGACAATGCCCCTGAAATTTTATTGACGTCTGTGGTTAGCATGATACCGGAAAGTGCTACTCTTGGGACTGTAACCGCTTTGATCGACGTAATAGATCGTGATAGTGGAAAAAACGGACAGGTGCACTGTGAAATCCCGAAGAACGTTCCTTTTAAACTTCATACAACTTCAAGTACCCATTATAAACTGATAACCACTGCGTCACTGGATCGCGAAGCTACTCCTGGATATAACCTATCTATTTTAGCCTGGGACTCAGGGAGGCCCCCACTATCATCAAATAAAACCGTCCAGATTTCTGTTTTTGACGAAAATGATAATGCTCCAATGTTTGCACGACGCACGTACACAGTTTATGTGACAGAGAACAACTTGCCAGGTGCTTCTATTTTCACAGTGACTGCGTCCGACCCCGACGTGGATCAGAATTCCTATGTCTCTTATTCTTTCAAAGAGATCCTTCGAGATTCGCCGGCGCCTACCTACCTTAAAATTAATTCGGTGAACGGGACCATTTACGCACTGCGCTCTTTTGACTATGAGCAAGTGAAGAGCTTCCAGGTCCAAGTTCAAGCCCGTGATGCTGGAGTTCCTCCACTGAGCAGCAGCGCAACAGTCAATGTGATTATCCTGGATCAAAATGACAACGCACCAGTCATCGTTTCACCCTCAGCAAAGAGTGGATCAGCAGCAGAGGTGATTGTGCCTCAGTCAGCGGGCCAAAATTACTTGGTCACCAAGATAATCGCAACTGATGCCGATTCTGGTCAGAACGCACGGCTATTCTACCAGGTGGTGAGAGCCATTGACCCCAGATTGTTCAACGTGGGGCTTAACACGGGCGAAATCAGAACAACCCGAGGCATTCTGGAGCAAGATGCCCCCACGCAATCTCTGATCATCTTGGTGAGGGATAATGGACAGCCCACCCTCTCCAGCACCGCTACAATCGTCTTGTTGCTTTTTGGCAACCTTACTGCAATACCTTCAGAAAGCAACGACTTGGTCAGGGATACTGAACAATTTTCCTACTTAAATCTTTATTTGATCATCACTTTAGGATCAACATCTTTTTTATTACTTGCAATTATCATTGTCCTTTTGGGCATCAAATGCAAACAAGACAAGAACCTTTCTGAAAGCAATCCCACAATATGTTGTTATAAGCCAGAGGATTCCATTGATGGATATAGTCAAGGACCAGTGCCAAAAGGTTCTGCAAATTACTGTGGGCAAACTCTCCCCATCTCTGACACTTATCGTTATACCGTCTGTCTATCACCAGAATCATCCAAGAGTGATTTTTTGTTCCTAAAACCTTGCAATCCTACCTTGCCACAGGAGCATCATTAATTTCTTTGGAAGTTTTGGGAGTTGAGAATATGTCTTGTTTGCTGTGATGCATGTTTTACGATTGAATGCAACAATACTATTATTTCAGCTGAATTACATTTGCCATTTTTCATTTCAATAAAAGACTTCGGTTTGTTACGCACAAACTGACGTGTCAGCTAAGTAAACTGCAAAGATTTTTGCGAAGGAAACGTTATGACAAGAAATCATATCGCTAGGGCCATAATTAACCTTTACCAAAAAGAGAAATGAAGTCAAAACATTTCATCTCTTGCCCATCAGAACCACCATGCTAGAAACCAGACTTGGAAAATGAATAAAAACAGTGGTGGAGAAACTCACAGGCCCCAGGAGCAGCTATGGAAAAAAGAATAGAATTATGTATTTAGTTGCTTTGGCTCTCTGAAGAAGTCACATCAGAATCTTAAAAAAAAACTGTTTCACTCTCCACCGATGCTGCCAAACTTTTTGAGTTTCTTTAGTGCTTTTTGTTTCAATTTATATTGTAGACATCCGTATTACTTTACTTTTACTTGGGTAACAACAAGTGTTTATACAACAAGATAATTTCGAGACGCAGCAAGAATGGATACTTGTCAATCCTAGTCCTCAGAGCAGATGGGTAAACTTTGATTGTTCACGGTGCTGCCATGGAAACCTCTCTCTGTTGCCAGAATCGGTTTACCTGCTCTGAGAATAAATTGACAATTACACGTTCCCACTGCATAGCGAAACGAACAGCGACCCAACTAATAAGCAGATTCTTTCATTACTGTAAAAACTGGAGTTCCAATTCAAAATCTAATTTCTTATGTCCTAGCCCTGATGAATGAAACATGAAAGTTGACTTTATATCTCGTTTTAGTAAAGTACAAGTCTGTCCAGCTTGATAATTATTTAGAATCGTATTTGTTACATTCTGCTGTCAAATATTGCATTTTTATATTGCTTGATATTTACTGATAAAACTTCTCTTTATGCAAAGTTACTGATATTTAGGTATTGATAGGATGGAGCATGGACTGGTTTTCTTTAATTGGATTTTGTCATTGTTTTACAAGTTTCCTTTGTCTTTGCGAGACAAGATGGCAAACCATGTTTTTTCCGAAGAAAGGTCTAGACCCGAAACGTCAGCTTTCCTGCTCCTCTGATGCAGCTTGGCCTGCTGCGTTCATCCAGCTCTACACCTTGTTATCTCTCTCTTCATCAGCCCCACCCTTGTTTATGGATTTTAATGTGGATCCTCAAAGTTACTTGGTTGTGTTTTGGATTTTCCTTAGATTCTTCTAGCGTTCCTGTCAATTTGCCTGAAAGTTGAGCTTCAATTTGAATATCTGGAATCTGAAGCATGCCTTTCAGATCATGGCTTTCGGATCATTAATGAGCCGTCATCTGGAAACAAATGCATCAAACAAGTCAAGATAATTACATATTCTTAACTTATTAGAGGACCATTTTTGACATCTGTGTCTTTTGTTTGTAAGCGTTTCATTTTTCTGAGATTCCCAAGCTCCAGATTTTTGGAATCATATTTGAAGAAGATGGCCCACGTGATATGTTCGGTACCAAATGCTGATGACTTATTATTTTGGCCGTGAATTAGTAACCAGTTTCAAATTTTTATGACAAATTACGCTTTAAAACGATTTTAGTAGCATTTGAAGGCGATATTCCAGAGTAAGCCGAGCAGTTGATTTTATAATTGGCTCGATTTTATGGTTGTCCAATTTTAAACATATACGAGGACATACTAGCTTTAAGAAATGTTGATGTAATTGTAGAAAAGGACTGGTTGTGTCGCTGCGTACCAATAAGAAAGTCAAATACAACGTTAGATCTATCGTCCCTCCCTCATCACGGCCAGAGACCAGAGTCAACCACAGAAGAGAGCATTGCCTCCGTCTAGGTTGTGGAGACGAGATCAAAATCGCAATTTTATACATTCGACTTTGCTGTACGTACTTTGCGCTCAGACTGCCGTTTAATCGACGACAGGCCTGGCTTAGGAAAACATTCAGTCCAGAACAATGGCGAATTTGCAGAGCGACGAGGCCTTAGCAATCAAAACGCTCGTTTTTATTTTTCTGATAAGTAAACCAAATTTGATTTTTGGACAAATTCGTTATTCGCTTCTTGAGGAACTGGAACCAGATGCTTTAATTGGGAATGTCGCTAGGGACTTGGGATTGAACGCACGGCAACTGTCAGCTCGCAAATTCCGAATCACCTCTGACACTGGAAGCCAGTATATGAAGGTTAGTGCGGATAATGGGGATTTATCCATTCGCGAGATAATCGACAGGGAACATATCTGTGGACCAGTCGCTAGATGTATTCTTCCTTTTGAAGTGGTAGTAGAAAATCCTTTCGAGATTTATCGTGGTGAAGTGGAGATTTTGGATATAAATGACAATGCGCCCGGTTTCACGGATAGCAGCATTACCCTACAGATGGCCGAAACAATTGCACCAGGGGCACGCTTCCCACTCGAGAGTGCGCAGGATCCGGACGTTGGAATAAATACTGTCACCACTTATACAATCAGTTCCAACCAGTACTTCGGCCTAAATGTGCAGACAACGGAGGAAGGCGTTAAAATCGTCGAATTATTGTTGAAGAAAGCTCTGGACCGCGAGCAGAATCCGTCCTTTCAGCTCGTTTTGACGGCTACTGATGGTGGGACTCCTCCCAGATCTGGTACCGTCCAGGTCCTCATTACCGTTCTGGATAGTAATGATAACTCACCAGTTTTCGATCGTACAATTTACAGGAGTAGCTTAGCAGAAAACTCACCTAAGGGAACCTTGGTGATCAAGGTCAGCGCCAATGATTTGGACGAAGGCTCGAATGCGGAGGTAACCTATTCTTTCAGTAAACTTGCCTCTCCACGAGTGAGAGAATTATTCCGTTTGAACCCAAAAACAGGGGAGATCAAAGTGGAAGGAAAGGTCGATTTTGAAGAAACAAACAGTTATTCACTTGATGTACAAGCTGTGGACCACGGCTCACCCGCAATTACCGGACATTCTAAAGTCCTCATTAAGGTCATTGATATGAACGACAACGCCCCCGAGATAAAGGTGACACCAGTATCCATCACTGTCTCAGAGGATGTTGCGCCAGGAACTTTGATATCGTTGATCAATGTAATGGATCAGGATTCTGGTAAAAACGGGCAAGTAAACTGTCAGATTTCAAAGCTCATCCCGTTTAAGCTTCAAGAATCTTCCAGCAACCATTACAAATTGATTACAAGCGGCTTGCTGGATCGTGAAACAGTTTCCAATTATAACATATTATTCTTAGCAAGAGATTCTGGATCTCCACCACTATCAACAAATGTAACCATCAGGATTTCGGTTTCTGATGTGAATGATAATGTCCCACAATTTACCCAGATGTCGTACACGGTGTACGTGATGGAAAACAACGCGCCCGGTGCATCGGTTTTCAAAGTCACTGCTCTGGATGCAGACATGGACAGGAATTCATTTGTTTCCTATGACATAATGGCAAGCAAGATCCAAGATCTGCCAGCATCTTCTTTGATCAGTATTAACTCAAATAATGGCGACGTATACGCCCTGCGCTCTTTTGACTATGAGCAAGTGAAGAGCTTCCAGATTCAAGTTCAAGCCCGTGATTCTGGAGTTCCTCCGCTAAGCAGCAGTACAACAATCAATGTGATTATCCTGGATCAAAATGATAACGCTCCAGTCATCGTTTCACCCTCAGCGCAGAATGGATCAGCTGCGGAGGTGATCGTGCCTCAGTCAGCGGGCCAGGGTTACTTGGTTACCAAGATAATCGCAACAGACGCTGATTCTGGTCAGAACGCACGGCTGCTTTATCAAGTCCTAAAAGCCACTGATCCCAATTTGTTCACTGTAGGGCTTAACTCTGGCGAAATCAGAACAGCCCGAAATATTTTGGAGCAAGAAGCATCCAGGCAACGGTTAGTGGTCTCGGTGAAGGACAATGGGCAGCCAAGCCTCTCCAGCACTGTTACAATCATCTTTTCAATCTTGGCTAATGTTACTGAACGATTCTCTGAAGTTGAAAGCTTTGCCAGAAATCCTGAAGATATATCTGATTTAAATCTCTATTTAATCGTGGCTTTAGGTTCGACTACGTTAATATTTCTTGTGACCATAATTTTCCTGGTTGGAATCAAATGTAAACAGGATAGAAATATCAATGAAGACTACAGATCCGGAGTATGTTGCTGCACACGGGACGATTTAAATTATTCGTATAATGAGCGAACTGGACCAACAGATCCTTTAAATAATGTTGGTGTTGGCGAAATTGGTCCCAACGCTGACCCGTGTCGTTATACGGTTTGTTTGTCCCCAGACTCTTCCAAGACTGATTTTTTGTACTTTAAGCCGTTTACTTCAACTTTGCCACAGTAGCGGTGTTAGGTAATGTTACTGTAACAGGTAAAGAAAAAGGCAGAATAACTTAGTTCCACGGGCCACATATACTTGTCCAGTTCCATGGGAAATTGAATGGGAATACAAAGTTTCGCTGTAATTCAAATTTATGAATATCGATATACACAATGTCATTCATATTAATAATAATAATAATAATAAAAATCAACAAATGAACAAAAATAAGTCAATCGTGAAGCACTTTGGGGTCAACTGTCGCTCTTTACTTCTAACCATTAGTTGCCATTTATTGAAGAAGCCAATGTATTTATGCAACATTTTCTTCGTTAGAATAGTACATCGAAAAATTAGTGCAGCACTTCAACAAGGTTTTAATAGAAAATATGACATTCTTGTACATGCTAACTTAATGCGTGAGATTTAGCCACCGATTAGGAATTTGGACTTCTAAATAATTCTAAATAAGGACACAAAGGGCACAGTAATTGTGATTTTGGAATTATGATCCAGGGGCCTTTAATAATGCTCCAGAGGCAGGACTTCAAATTCCACCTCCACAGCAGCGCATTTTAAAATCAGTTCGTGAAATTGTGAGGAAAATGCAAGATTGTTGTACCAGACCCCTGGTTCACCATTGTAGGAAAGGAATATCGCCTGGTCTGTAATGCACTCCATGGCTATCCAAATCTGGTTGACTCACTTGGAATTGTTAACTTTTCAGTTTATTATGACTGCTTCAAAAGATTCTAATAAGTATGAGATTGGACAGATCATTCAGGACAGACACAGGTACCCTACAGGAACACAGATCCAGTATTCAATCTTCCTTACTGGCATTTCGAAACTTGTGGCAAAAGTGACAGAGCTGTCATGTAAACATATCAGGCAACAGCATGATCAATTCATGCTCACAGAATCATATTTTTCAGCCAATATTGCAGACCCTTCTGGCACCGTCGTGGTATGTTCTGTCCTGTGAACAGGTAGCTCCAACAGAGATGGCAGTGTGGTAGCATATATTTATGAGCGAGTGCAGTACAATTTTCTCTTTAACCTTTGTCGTGTTTCATAGATTTGACGTACTGTTATCCCTTCATGATTAAAAAAGGAGGGTTGCTCGGAAATGGTCTGCTGTTTCCTGTGATACCTTCTCAATTATTGTGCTTTTGCTTACCTGCAGAAGTAAGAGTGAATATTGACTGCTAAACCACAACATTAGCTTCAGGCTCCAAGAATTTTCATGACATCAGTTCAAATTGGTAGGGAATTGATGATAACCACCAACAAACACCCTCTACTACTGACTCGGTATTTCTTCATGCTGATCAAAACTTTGAAGAAGCAGTATGGCTTACAAGGACACAGAATGTACCTTTGGGAAGGGGCACTATAAACTTCATCACCAATCCTTACATAGCTGACTGAATGCTGAAGAATATTACAGTCTGACATAGTCCGTAGCAGTTGATGAGTGAGTCGTCAAGTGAGAATGATTTAATTGCTTTTGCCTTTAATAATCTTCATTTGAAGGTATGTTTATTCTTGACAGTATTGGTAGGAATCATTGTTACACTGTTCCTGTGGAGATTTGGCTCCAGCCGAGTGGTGCCTTCCATAAACTCACGTGCTATTACCATCATACTAAATGAGTTAGAATCAGAGCTGATGCAGGAGCTCCAAACTAGTATCAAGAAGGCACCAGGCGCACCCACCAGAAGCAGAATTACATAATGCATAACATCATGCTCTGCTGTATCCTTTAACACACGTTACCACTCAGACAAAGGGACACCTTTCTGCCATGAGAGGGGCGAAAAAGCATGCCAGGAGCAATCTTAGGCAGACTTAACGTGAAATCATCAACTTTGTGAAACTTCAGTGTGGGTTTACGGATATGCTAAGTTGCACATGCAACACAATATTTGGAGTAAGAACAAAAACAAATTTGCTGGAAAAGCTCAGCAGGTCTGGCAGCATCTGTGAAGGACAAAACAGAGTTAACGTTTCGGGTCCGGTGACCCTTCCTCAGAAGGGTCGCAAGAATATTTGGAGTGCCATGTGAACCCACAACCAATTAATTGGATCAGAAATTTGCTGCATCCAGTTCTGAATGGGCATGGACAATTGAACAATTAACAAGGAAGGGGCACATTTCCACAATCAATAAGGGCACAACTCAGTGTAGGGGTGTGGTGATAAACACAAGAGTATAGAATTCATAAGAAACTTCGGCAGGAATTGTCACAGGGATAATCATGTCTTGTTTTTAATTAAGTGTCCCACCTTCACTGAACTGTTTGATATCAATAAATGCTGAGGCACACTGGATACAATAAAGTGTACGGGTTCTACCATATCCTAGTTTTTGCATTCAAGACACATACGTCAGAACTAGCCTTGTCTCAAAGCAACAAGAAAACAAGATGTCTCATTGGGAAAGTGGGAAATTTTCCAGGTATGCCTTCTCTCAAGAAATCAGGACAAATTCAATAGCAATCACCACCTCATCAGTTTACTCTCAATCATCAATAGATTTTTTAAAAAAAACTTATTATTCATACACAATATGTTGGTGCCGCTGGTTGTGTCAGCATTTATTACCCCTACTTAGTTACAGTTGCGACGATGGAGATAAACTATTATCTTGAACTCCTGCAGCCCATTTGGTCGGGTCAGATCCATAATGCCATTAGGGAATGAGTTCCAGGATTTTGACTCAGTGACGCTGAAATTGGTGATGTATTTTTTTTTTAAATCAGGAAACTAAGTTGCCTAGAAGAGCACATGCAGTTGTGGTGTGATATTTGTTGCCTTTCTCCTCGATGGAAGTGGTTATTGGTTTGGAAGTTGCTAACGAAGGAATCTTGGTGAATTTCTGTAGCGTAGGTAGTGCACTCTGATGCTACTGATAGTGGAGAAAGTAAGTGTGTGTTGATATCGTCTCATTAAAGCTGGCTGTTTTGTCTTGAATGCTGTTTTGAGTGCTGTTGCAGCTTCACTCATCCAAGCATTCAATATCACTCTAACTTGGTCTTTGTAGTTAGTGGAAAGGCTTTGGGAGGTCAGCAGATGAGTTACTTTCTGAGGACTTCCTAGCCTCCAATCTGCTCTTGCAGTCACAGTATTTATACACCTAGTACTGTTTAGCTTCTCGTCCATGAGGACTCCAGGGCGTTAATGTTTATTAAGTGATGATAAGTTACATTGAATATCAAGGAATGATCGTTAGATTCTCTCTTGTTGGAAATGGTCATTGCCCGCCACTTGAGTGGAGTGAATAATGCTTGCTATTTGTCAGTTCAAACCTGGATGTTGGTCTTTATTGCAAAAGGATTGATAATAAAATTACGGACATCTTACTAAAACTCTAAAAGGCGCTAGTAAGATATCACCTCGAATGCTATGAACAGTTTTGGTAACCTTATCTGTGGAAATAAGGACTGGCATTGGAGGTAGACAACAGAAGATTTTCTTATGTCAAAAGAATGAGAAGATTGGGCTTGTGCACATTGGAGTTAAGGGTAGGAGGAGATGTTATGGAAGCGTATAAAAAATTGGGGCCTTGATAGGCTAGAGGCTAAGCATATTTTTTCCCTTATTAGAGTGTCTAGGACCAGAGGGCGTTATCTCAAAGTCAAGAATCGCTCATTTAATACAAAAATATGGATGAGATTTTCCTCTCAGACGGAAATGAATCTGTTCATTTATCTTTACTACAGAAGATTGTGGATCTGTGTCGTTACGTGTGTTCAAGACTTCGACAGAGAGATTTTTTATTGAATAATGGGATCATAATTATGATAATCATAGAATCCCTACAGTGTGGAAACAGGCCCTTCGGCCCAACAAGTCCACAACGACCCTCAGAGCATCCCACCCAGATCCATCCCCCCATAACGCACCTAATCTACACGTCCCTGAACAGTGTGGCCAATCCACCTAGCCTGCACGTCTTTGGACTGTGGGAGGAAACCGGAGCACCTGGAGGAAACCCATGCAGACACGGGGAGAATGTGCAAACTCCACACAGACAGTCGCCCGAGGGTGGAATCAAACCCGGGTCCCTGGCACTGTGAGACAGCAATGCTAACCATTGAGCCACAGTGTCGCCCCATAATCTACTACGATCTTGTGGAAAGGTGGGACAGATCCGCTTGGCTGAATGACCAATTTGTACTCTTATGTCTTACGATCTGCATTGTCCAGATCTTGCTTCCTTTAGGCACAGATTGCTTCAGTAACTGAGTTCTCGTGAATGATGTTGAACATTGCCCAATCATCAGTGAATATCCCCAGTTCAGACCTTTTGAACGAGGGAAAGTCAGTGTCGAAACAGTTGATGATCGTTTGGCCCAGGACACGACCAAAATAAACTTCTTCAGAATGTTCTGGAGCAAGGTGATGCACCTCCAGCAACCACAGCCATCTTACTTTGTACCAAGTATGATCCAAAACAGTGGAGAGATTTCTCTTTATTTCCATTCACATGAGATTTGCTCAAGTTCCTTGCTGCTACTTTTTGTAAAATGCTGCTGTGATGCATTCCTTCACTGTCATTCGGTAAAATTCCCGGAATTTCCTCCCTAGAGGCTTTTTGGGTCTACCTACAGCACATGGAGTGCAGCGAGTCAAGAAGACAGTTCACGATCACCTTCCCAAGGGCAACCAGGGACGGGCAACAAAGGCTAGCCAGCTAATGATGCACACACTTCACGTCTCATGAATGAATTTAAAAATGCCAACGCCAGTTACTTTCACATCACACAGAGAATTCTTCTTTTTTCTTGTCCAGGTTTATCAAGATCGTATGGAGTCAGTATCAGTTGTGGCTGTGTCTAAAGTCCAACTGAGTTTCAATGGAAATGTTGTTACTAAGCAAATGCTTCTTTCTCGTAATATAGACCACACTTCCATGGCTTTACTGATGGTCATGAGTAAATAAGAGGGGGGTTTGAACTGTTCTGCTTTTTGTGGACAGGCATATAATTTTTCACACTGCAGTGTAAGTGCCAGAGTTGTAACTATGGATTGAATAATTTATCCCGAATTGGAGAAAGTTATGGAAAACATGTCTTCCATACTACTGCTAGAACATTGTCAGGACCACATTAATTACAGTATCCAGTGTCTCCGGCCTTTCTAGATATTGGGTGGAGTGAGTTCAAACAGCTGAAAACTGACAACTGAGTTGCTGTGCTCCTCTATACAAGGAGCAATGTTGA